CGGGGGGGGGGGGGGGAGGCCGGCTGCGCCACTCACAGGATGGACTCGGGCACTGGTGCGGGCGGCATGGTGTCTCCTGTTCCTGCCCTTCCAAGTAGACTTTAGAGGGATGGCCCGGCTTCCGCGAGTCCTTTGACGGGGGTCCCGGCGGCAGCAGTAAGTGGGGGCATGGGCATTTTGACCCTGTTTCCCCAAAACCCATCGCGGCAGGCCAGTGCCGAGCAGATTGCAGGGGAAGGGAGGTGTCGCTACCAGGGGCCTGGCTTTCGACGGACACCCTCTTGCAACCCTTTGTAGGCTCTCTAAAGATCTGCGGCCCCTGTGCCCGCTGTCTCGCGAGGCTGTGCACGATCGAGGACAGTCTGCACACCGCGACAGGAGCTCCACCGGCGCACAGCAGTCTTCTGGCGTCTGCTACGGTGTAGCACACCTGAGCGCCCCACACCGGAGAACAGACGCAGTGATGCTGTGTTCAAGTGAGTGCTGGATGTGCCTGGACTTGGGTACCTAGCTGTGCCCTGTCTGTGCTTGCTCAGTCTCCGCATGCCCGGCTCGCCGAACAGTCAGTGGGAGCGTCCCAGAGGAGCCAGTGGTCTCAAAGGTGTCCGGACACCTCTACGAGAAGCGCCTGGTGCTGAAGATCATTCAGGTGCATGCCTGTGCTAACGATGGCTCCTGCATCTGGAGAGTGGGAGTGACAGTGTACTGTTGACAGGAGATTTTCACAGAGATATTGTGCTGGGTGGCACACCCCGCATGCTTCCTGGTGCTGACCCTCAGGCCGCACACTCGGGATGCAGGAGACGGGACGCGACCCAGTCACAGACGAACCCCTCGCCGCTGGCGACCTGGTGACCCTCCAAGTGGGCAAGGTCAGTTGGGCAGCCTGAGGGTTGCGCTCACGACTGCTCTCATGAGCCCTGCTGGCATCAGTCCTGCTTGCAGGGGAAGCGAGTGTCACATGCCAGTTTTTCAGGGCAGCGCATGATTTAGCGTCGGAGCGCTGGCCGACGGTGCGGGACCTGGGACAGCGTCACCTCACGTACGGCACAGGCCATGGCTCACCCCGAGCATCAACTCTGTATCGCAGGCCATCAACCCCCGTCCCACCCCCGCCACATCCATCCCCGGCCTCCTCTCCCTCTTCCAAAATGTGGGTTGGAAAGTGTGGTCTGTGAGCGGACGCCTGCGTTTGGATGTGACCAGGGTGTGTCAAACATCTGAGCGTCACCCGGGCGATTTCGGGGGGAGCTCGCCTGGTTCACTCGCGGGGCTCGGCGCATGCTCGGCGAGCCCAGTCCTCGCATGCCGCCGGGGCTGCTCATTGCTCGTAGCCGCGGCGCGTTCTCCCTCCCCACCCCCCCCTCGCCCCCCTCGCCCCCTGGCGGGGAGCATCCCACCCACCACTTCTCACACACACGCCTCCCCCCTTTTTCCCCCTTTCACAGGAGTGGGACGTAACGGTGCTGGAGCTGCACCAGCTGCGCACCTCGCTGCACAAGACACGGCAGGAGCTGTCGCACGCGCTGTACCAGCACGACGCGGCGACGCGCGTGATCGCGCGCCTGCTGCAGGAGCGCGACGGCTATCGCGCGGCCGCCGAGGCCGCCGCTGCTACGCGCGCGGCCGCGCCCGCCGACGCCAATGGCAAGCGCGGCGCAGAGGCGGACGGCGGTGAGGACGGCGGCGACGCCAAGAAGGCCAAGGGCGGCGTGACGGCGCGGGTGGTGGAGGCGCTGACGGCGGCGTCGGACGAGCTGTCGCGGGGTCGCAAGAAGCGGGTCGTGCCGCCGAGCACCGCCACCCCGGAGGAGGTGGGGCGGCTGGCCCTGGCCCACACCCTGCCCCTGCACAAGACGAGGAAGGGCGGCATCCTGGCCATCGACCTGGCCCCGGGCAGCGGCGACCTGGCGGCCACCGCGGGCGCCGACGGCTGCGTGCAGGTGTACGACGTGGCGGGAGCGCGCAGCGTGGCGGAGCTGGCGGGGCACTCCAAGCGCGTGAACGACGTGCGCTTCCTGGGCAGCGCCGACCTGCTGGCCTCCGCCTCCGCGGACCGCACGGTGCGCCTGTGGCGCCGCGGCGAGGCCGAGGGCGACTACGCGGCCGCCGCCACGCTGGCCGACCAGGCGGGCGAGGTCGTGGCCCTGGTGGTGCACCCCTCCAACGACTACCTGGTTGCGGCGGCCGCCGATGGGACCTGGGCCTTCTACGACGTCGCCCAGGCCCTGTGCCTGACCAAGGTGGCCGACGAGGGGGCCGCCTACTCCGCGGCGGCCCTCCACCCCGACGGCCTCATCCTGAGCACGGGGACGCAGGGCGCGGCGGTGAAGATCTGGGAAACGCGCACGCAGAAGGTGCAGTACTGGCGTTTTGTGGGGTGGGGCCCTGGGTCTGGGAGTGGGTGTGCGGGATGGGGGCCGGAAGGGGGACAGGGCGGGAAGCATGATGATGCGATTCCTGGCGCCGCGTGGGGACTTTCTCGCGTCGAACGAGGCTGGATGCGCAGTGATTGCTGTTGTGGGGCGGAGGGAGTCATGAGACAATGCGCTGCGGGGAGTCACTGGGGTCCAAGGGGCCAAACGCCAGGGTGATTCACGCTGGGAAAACAGAGCCTCGACATCATTGAGGAACACCTCTACCTGTCCTCCTGCAACCACAGAATGTGGCCAACTTCGAGGGGCACACTGGCCGCATCAACTCGCTGTCTTTCTCCGAGAACGGCTACTACATGGCATCCGCCGCCACAGACGGCGTCCGGATCTGGGACCTCCGCAAGCTCAAGACCATCAGGTGGGTGGGTGTGTTGGGGGTCCTGGAGGAGGCCGGCCTGAAGGAGGGGAGGGGGCGTGCAGGAATCTTAGCCGCAACGCTGCCTGTGTGGGCATCCCTCACCCGCCACATCACGCTCACGCGCTCGCCAGGACTCTGAATCTCTTCTCTGAGGGAACCCCAACCACCGCCGTCGCGTTCGACTACTCTGGCCTCTTCCTCGGGGTCGGAGGGTCCGATGTGCGGGTGGTGGGAGCTAAGCAGGACTGGGCTGAGCTGGCGACACTCACCGGCTTCCCCAAGAAGGTGTGCGAGCTGGCTGGAGCAGGGTGGGAGAGGGTTTGGGAACGCTGCTTTCTCTCAGGCCAGAATGCAATGCAGGTGGTGGACCCCTTCCATGCACCGACTCCCAACCCCACCTTGCCCTCCCCTGCCGTTGTCCGATTAAGCCATTGTACCGTCCCTCTCAACCTGCGCAGGGCGTGTCCTCACTGCGATTCGGAACAGACGCCAAGCGTCTGCTGGTGGGCGCCTCAGACCACAACCTGCGTGTGTTTGATGTGTGATGGTGAAGCGTACACACAGTGCCTCGGCCACCATGGCGTCACCCACCCTACCTTAAAAACGACGACATGTGAGGAATGACGCTCTTGCGGCGTTTCAAGGCATATGAGCAGTCACAGCATGCCGGTGGTTGATCAATTGCCAGCTTGTCCGTCAAGCCCTCGGATTCCCCGAGGCTTCGACCCCGGAGGAATAAGTTTCAATTCCCGGGAGCTGCCCTGCTCGTCGCCCCTGCACATGGTTTTCATGACCCGCGTGGAGCACGCGACGCAGTTGACCAGCCTCGTTGCGCCCCGAAACCCCACACATTCATCCTCTGCGCCTCATACCCGCCGCTTTGTAGCCTGATCACGCCCCTTGAAATACAATCAGCACTTGTGCGGTCCCCACCCTAACGAGGCTTCCGGCCAGCGCAAGTTTGTAACACCCCAGCCCCTGTCGATCCTAGCAGCATGCCGCACCCATCCACGTCTTCCAGTGCTGTGGAGGACAAGCAGCTCTTTATTCTCGCCCTCTGTGACGAGTTCACGGGGACCGCGTTGCGACCCGCGACGGAGTCTGACCTGGCCGGCATAGATTCCCCTGCCTCCAGCCCTCCGCCCATGCCCCGACACAGCGCTGCACAGCACCGATCCATGTCCCTCCAGGAGATTCTGGCATCGCGGGCTGCGTTCGGGGGGCCCTCCTGCTCTCACTGCGGAGTCACGGGTGGGTGCCCTGGAGCTGGGTCAGGAGGGGTGGGGATGGTGTCATCCCGGGCCACCAAGTCTCACACGCGCCCCACTCCCCAATTCGCAGAGTCCCCCCAGTGGCGGCGTGGACCTGCACACAAGCCCCTGCTCTGCAATGCTTGCGGGACGCGCTACAGGTGGGACTTGCTGGTACAACCCTGCGTTGAATGGATGCCCGCAACCTGTGCTGGCCCGCTCCTTCATCGCTGTTGGCATGTTTGTCACATCGGCCACCTGCTCCTCTACCCCACGCAGGCGGACCAATCAGTTCCTGCCCCTCCACGCCACGCCGGGGTCACGCAAGCGGGCCACCAGCGCCCCACAGACATGCGCGCAAGAGAACGCCCTGGAGGACAAGGCGCACACGGGCTTCAAGCAGCCGCGGTTGATTGCCAGCACGGCCTGAGGAGGATCACGCTTCCCGTTCCCCACCTGCCATGCTCAGGGGCTGTTTGACCCTGAATGTCCCCCGCACGTTCCCTGCAAAAGGTTCCCCTGCGGCTTTTCCACCTCACTTCCCCCGTTGCGCTTTCGACGCCGGTCTGGAGGTGACATGGCCACCTCCATCCCCCATGGCACCTAGGTTCTGAGGCATGCATACTGGATGGCTTCCTCCCCTGTGGGAAGCCGTTGAGTCTCTTCCCCTTTTTCTTCACTCCCAACTGAGCCCCCATTTCCCGTACATTTTTGAGAATGTCGTCTGCCCCTGGCAGATGTCCTGTGCTGAGCTTGTTAGTACCCACACGGCCAGATATGCTGCTACACAGAGAGGGAGCAGCGTATTTTGAAATCACAAGGCTGCTGCTGTTCTCGTGCGCGCCTCGCACCCACCCGGAAATTACCGGGTCCGATCCATCAGTCAAACTTGGCACCTGCCGCCTGGGGGAACAGGCCGCTCAGCTTCTCAAACACCTTGGACACCTGTGACGAGGGGAGGGTGGGTGGGTCGGGAGTGTGAGTAAAGGCTCAGGGCAGTGTGTCAGTGCTTGATGGAACGACTCCGTGCCTTCAGCAAGGGTCTCGAGACATGGGCGGCTCGCAAACGTCGGCCCTGTACCGTCCATATGTCCTCTGCAAGACACTGGAGACCGCGCATCTACCCCTCGCAGGGCGAAAGGCCTGCCGCCGCCCACCCCCCCAACACGCCCTGCGCCGCACCTCTGGGTCCGACTGGTATTTGAACATGGCCATGGGATTCTTGTTCATCTCCATCAGCGCTGTCATGACATTGGGCTTGGTCATCATCGTCGCCAGCTCGGGGTCAGACATCACCTTCTGCATCATCTGCTCAGGCGTCATGCCCAGCGCGTCAAACTGCTTGGACATTTTCTCCGAGTCCATAGAGGCCATCATGTCCTTCATCTCCGGCGTCCCCGCCACCTCCATCTGTGTTTGGGAGGGGGTGTCCATATTGATCGGTTGAAAAGTGTGATGGGGGGTGTGGGGGAGTGGGTAATCGGGGCGCACGTACCAGGGGACTCGTGAGCTAGCCACCATGTCACCTAGGGCCTCCGTAAGTGCAAGAACAGATGCCTGACTCTCCCCAATCACAACACCCACCTGCTGCGACATCATCTGCTCCAGCTGCGCGCGCGACTCCGGGTTGGAAAGCATGAACTCGAAAGTCTGCGGGTTCCGCATGTGCTCCGGGAGGTAGGGGTACAACGTCTTCTGCATCTCCGGGTTCCGCAGCATGTCCACCACAGACTCGCCGCTGGGGCCCGCGCCTGCCGAACTGGAGGGGCCTTGGCCGGCCGCCACCCCGGCCTCGGCCCCGGCGCTGCCGCTGGGCACCGCACCGGTCTCGGCACCAGGCCTCAGGTCCGAGATCTCCGAGGAGTCCACCTCTCGACCCGCGGCGGCAGAGGGGGTCACGTCCACGAATGCTGCGCGCTTCGGCGCAGGCGCATCGCTGGTCGCCGGCGCCGGAGGGGTTGCGGTGCTGGCGGTCTGACTGGTGGTGGCCGTGGTGTCGACAGTCGTGGGCGCCGCAGGGGCCGGGGTGGGGGGCATGGTGGGGAAGGAGGGGAAGCCTGCAGGCATGCCGCCGGCCCCCGCCCCAAAGGGGCTGGCCGGGCCGGCGCCAAAGGGGCTGCCGGCGGGGCCAAAGGGGCTGGCGCCCTGGCCATTGCCGGCCTGCTTCATCATCTGCTTCATGGCCTGCTCCATGGCCAGCTGCTGCAGCTTGGCTGGGCCGCCGGTGAAGAAGTTGAGCACGGGCTTGACCAGGGTGGCCACCACGACGCCTGTGGGTTTGAGTGGGAGGACAAGATTGCCGCTACACCCAGCTGGGGCACGACTTGCAATGCAGGTTGTCAACAAAGCGGCCGGCGAGGATGGCAGGGTCCCAGCAGCAGGCATAGGAAAACTGAGGTGTTAACGATTCGTAATATTGCCTTGGACCATACGGGCGTGCTGCTGCTCTACCCCACGAACAACCAACTCACCGACTCCCACCCAGACCAGGGGAGGGATCTGAGATCCAGCACTCGACTGGGGTCCAGGGGCTGGACGGTAGGTCGACGACACCGATTGGTACTGTTGCTCTTGGGTAACAGGCTTCGTCGCCTGCTGGAAATACGACGGAAGGCATTCATGGTGGCAGAACACCCGTGAACACCTGCCCAGCACGGAATTTTGCTCATGTGCATGGGATGGCTCAGCGAGTGTGGTGATACATGCATGCCCGTGAAGCCGAGCTCACCTCAGCACGGAAGTACTCTGGGATGTCGTCGGGGGTGTCGCCCTTGGAGGCTCTTACCGCGAGCTGGGGTCCAGACCGAGACCCTGAGGGCAGAGAGTAGAAGAGTGTCATCAATTTTACACACCTGGCAGTGGATGGCTCCGAGCCTAATGCTCGAACAGACTTCAGGCCGTCTTCCTACCTCGCAAGCGGGAGCGAGGTACTGCGCGGCTCAGACAGGGCCTTGAGACACGCAGTGTGTGAGCGGGCGGGCCCGCCAGTGGGGACCGACATCCCATTACAAGGCCCCGAGCACTCATGGCAAAATTGACAACAAAACTGGGGGTGCTCTGAATTCTAGGACGCGATTTGGTGCGGGTAAGAGGAGCTTTGGGCATTGCACTCCGTGGTTTGGGTGTGGGAGCCAGCCCCATCATCCATCGACCAGGAGGAAAGGGCGACCAGGATGGCGAGTGGGATACTTTGGGAGTTTAGCCTTTGAAACATACTCAACTTGGTAGAACAGGACTTGACGCATTTGCAATCACGTCATCTTACTGCCTGGTCCAGCTGGCATAGCAATGTAAAGGCTTAATCTGCTAGGGAGGACAAGCAGTAGAGTTTAAATACTTCTATAGGACAACAGCAGCAGCAGAGTACCTGCATCACCAGCCCACCAACGACTGAATTCCAGTACGTCTCAAGATGCATCTGTGAGCTTCACTAATGCACCGAGAGCTTCTGCCCCTGTATCAATATACTCGTCCAGGGACTGCATGGCGATTCTCAAATGCTCAGCATACAATATTGGCGGGCGTGCACTCTTCAATCAAGTGTGCGGTAAACTGGGCAAAGAACATATTATCATATTGTGTGCTTTGACGGATGTTGGGGCGGAACTCAGAAACCGACATCACGTCTGTCAATCACTGCTGCGGGGTGCTTTCCCTCCGAGTGACGTGTCAGATCTAAGCAAGCTGCTACGCGGAAGGCATAGGCCATACTTCTGCAGCACCACAGTTGCCAGTGGAACACCAATGCGCCGTTCAAATTCTCGATCAATATAATCGATCTATGAAGGACGTTATTGGGAGCCGCTAGTCGTGTCCAGCATGGTGCGCCAGGCCAACCCGTTTGGCCCTGGCCTGGACTCGTTCTTCGGCACCAGGACGCGAGGTCGAGGCAGGGCTGGATCATCCGCGCGCATAATGCAGCTCGGCCTCTTGCTATACCAGCAGATCGCTATGTTGGAGAACAAACCACCTGTCACGATGGCGCTGGTAGCCTGTGAGTAGTGTCAATGGAGCATGATGTGCTTTTTTGAAAGGGGTGTCCTTGTGGTCGACCTGGGCTGAGCTGAGCAATGACTGTTTCATTCAAGCCCCCCAACACCTTCGGCCATCCCCCCCTCCCAGTGCAAGTCCTGCTGCACCTCCGACCTGACGGATTCGAAGGTCTGCCGTCCATTGCATCCGCCTGCCTCCAGCCGCACGCCATGCTCTTCAATGTGAGGCTGCTGCCGGGGGATCTCTGCGCTGCCTGGAGTCTGGCCTGTGTCCTCAAAGGGGTGGTGGCCCTGCCCATGTCCCTGCCCATGTCCACCTCATCCTCAGGGCGAATGGAGCCGGCTGTTATGGGCTCCCTTGCTCCATGCCGACGAGGCGCACCTGTTTTACAACATGTCCTCCTTCATCTGGAAGGTGCACCCGTGAGGGGTGATGGGGCTGCACGCTTGGGGGTGTGCATGGAGCTTTGGGCCCGGGTGCGCATGAGGTTCCCCCCCAGCACCTCCTCACCGCGTCACCCGGCCACTCCCCCCACCTCGACCATCACAGGGCGCCCAGCTGGAGCCGGTGCTGGGGACCCGCGCTTTCCTGCTCCTGGTGGCTGAGCTGGCGCTGACCTCCAGCCTGGCATATGTGGCGCTGGCGGCGGGTGCCGCGCTCCTGTCCCCGGCGCTGGGCCTGGGCCTCATGGGATCCTGTGCCGTGGGCTTCTCCGGCGTCCTCTTCGGCCTCAAGGTCGTGCTGAGCGCCGAGGCCGCCGGGTGGAGCAGCGTGGCCGGCATCACCCTTCCCTCCAAGGTAGGACGCGGGGGTGGATGGTCCAGGGTGGGATCACGCGCTCTGCCCACCCGTGCATTGCATCTCCGAGGGCTCGCTGTGAGGCCATCGCGCTCGGCCTCCCCGCTCGAGTGGCCGCCCTGTTACTCGACCCCTCCTTCACCTGGAACGCACCCCTTCCCACCCCAATCCCCCCCCACACACCGCAACGCACAGTACGTGTGCTGGGCCGAGCTGTTCCTCGTCCAGTTCATGATGCCGCGCGCCTCGTTTGTTGGCCACCTGGCGGGCATCCTGGCTGGGCTGGCTCACGTCTACCTCGTCAGGCCCTGCTTGCTTGCGGGGCCCGGTGGCACCCGCGCATGGTGGCGGGCCACACCCCGCACCCACGGCTCGGGGCGGTGGGGCGACGGGGGAACTCGTCCCCAGGGCGCGCAGGGGGTGAGTGGGGATCAGGTGGCGGCATGGGTGTGGAGGAAGGTGTGTATGTTTGAATGTGGGGCCAGAGGTTCCGGCTGGCGACCCTGATGCACATCTTCTGGCCTCCCGTTTCCGTGGCTGCATTCTTGGCCTGAGCTCAAGATGGAGGGTGGTGGTGTCCGGGATGGGCCCTCCTTTCTGGGCGTGGTGTAGTGCTTTGCAAAGCAGTGGCTCAGGACAACCAGCCATGACCCACCTGTCTCACTGCAGCAGCGAGGCAGTGAGCGTGCACGTGGGGTGCCCGGACCCTCCGCCACGCCGTCTGGGTGTCATGTAAAATCTGAGGGCAGGACGGCTGGCCCCTCCGCAGCTGTCCCTCCAACGGACGTCGGGAGCAGCCTCACGCGCGGCAGGGTGCTGGCGGCCGCCACGCTCTACGCGGTGCTGGCGGCAGCCTGGGCCACGCTGCCCACGCTGGCCTCCCTGTCGCCCATCGCGGGCATCCAGGGGCGGCTGAGCCAGATCGCGGACCCCATCCCCCTGGCGGCCAGCCTGCTGGGGGGGGCCACGGGCATCCGCGCCTTCCACCTGGGCCTGGCGCGGCTGGTGAACCTGCGCGGCACCTGGTACGCCGGCGCCTTTGGCGGCTGGGTCGCGCTGCCGGCGGCGCTGGGCGCGCCGCTGGGCGTCGTGCTGGGTGCGCTGCGCATGCTGTGGGGCACGCTGCGCGTGGCGGTGCCCTGGGCCGGCAGCAGGGCCCTGCGCGCCGGCGGCGCGGGCGTGCTTGCGTCGGACCCCGGCGTCCAGCTCCTGGCCGCCGGCATGGTCGCCGCGTATGCAGCCTGGTGGCTGGCGCCGCCCGAGGCCGCCGCCCGCTGGCTCTGCGTGCGGGGGGGGGGGCCGGGGCGCGAGCCTGGGGGTGGCCCGCCGGCCGCCATGCTCGCCAACCTCTC